TAAATGAGAGCAGCCAAGCTCAGTCTTGCTTTAGTCTTAAGTTTATATTCAATTTCTCATATTTGTCGAACAGAGAGAAAAAATGTTTGCCACAATTTTCTATTCAGACTTGATTTAAACGGGTTTTAGTACTTCACACTTGTGCAGCTCGGCATAATAGAGCGATAGAAACTCATCTTTATTAGATACCAATTCCAAGGGRCAAACAAACAAAGGACCTAAAATTGATGTGTTAATTGATGAAGTAGAACCTCCAGACTTGCTCCCTCCCCAGCACCGGTTCACGCTCGTTTACAGCTCCCACATCGATACGTATATGCCTTGTGTATGTATGTGTGAGGGAGAGTTGAAAACATGCAAATTGTTTACATGAAAATTCCATTATGCTTGCAGAGCAAAAGGAGGCTGTAAACCCTTTCGGAGGTGCAGCGGCAGCAGCAGGAGCTCATCGTGGCTAGACAACAAGCCCAAACAATGCATTATCTCTGGCTTTGGCCTCGGCTACAATGGCTGCAGCAATGAAAACTTCATGTAATATAAGTCAACAGCAGTTAGCCAATAAGAACCAGCCGGCAACAAAAACAGGAAGAACAAAGCGCTTTGTTCGAAGCCAACACACGATACCTTTAACAGCATCATCATCACCAGCATCAGCATCATCATCATCATTAAGGGTTTAAAATCTTTTAACTCTCTAACCAACACACAATACACACAGAAACACAGACACACCCACTCACACACATACACTCGAACAATGTGTGCTGGTCTATAAAATCAGCCTGGAGTTCAGAATCGGAATTGGTATCGGATTCGGGTTCGGGTAGTTTCTAGGGGGGCAGGCAGACTTGCAAATGCAAAACTAAAACTGACTCCAACTGACGTCTGTATCTACATAAAATAACAACAGCAACAACAACGAAAAAAGCTAAAAAAAAGGCTGATGATGGGCAGGAATAAGAAAACTCAGCAAGTCAGTCAGCTAGGACGTACGGCGGCCTCTTTGTTTTTGTTACAATGTGCCGACTATTTGCCTTGAATGGTCAGAAAGTTGTAGCTGGAAAAAGCCCACATGGCCAGCAGCAGTGCGAGGAGGGTGGTTGCCCTGGGGGCAGGGGACTGCCGGGTGTGTGGCCGCAGTTAAAGGTGGGGCGCAAGCACAACATTTTACGTTCGTCTGGGCCCCATAGCCATAGCACACGTGTCTATGGAGTCTACCTGGCTTTTGTGTGTGGGTGCTCGACATGTGTGTGTGTGTGTGTGTGTGTGTGTGTGTGTGTATCAATAACAACAGCAAAATGTGGCAAATGTAGCAAACGTCTAAGCCAAAACAGCAGCAACAACAGCTAACTAGCTGAAAATTAGCAAAAAGCAAAATCGATATTACGTTCAATGTGCTTTGGGCGCTCATTAAAGTTTCAATGCCCCTTAGTAAATGTGTTTCATGAAAGCTGTTGAAACTTGTGCGCCTCAGTGGTTCCAACAATGTGTTAATACTGAGATTTTCCAGCTACCACTAATTAGTTAAAGCAAAATGCATTAGTTTTCCAATACAACACACAGTTAGGCAGAGTACAGCTAAAGATTATTTTGGAGAGCAGCCTGAGGCTTGCTTGAATTTGGTTTATGCTCCATTTGATATAGCTTATATGCAATTTAATTATTAATAAATCAGGAGTATATATAAGGAAAATTTATGCTCATTTTGATACAGTTTGTGTAAAATTAAATTATTATTAAATAATATTTATAGAAATCTTGAGCCAAGGCTGTGCTTTATTAACTCTTGCTTAAGTTTGGCTGAAGACCTGGCTTCGAAATGTTTTATGTACAAGAAAATTTAAGGCCTTCAAGGTAAAAAAAAAATTAAACAAAAAATTATAAAAAATATATATCATAATATTATTGGGCCTATTTCAGTTACAATGACTTGTCAAACGTTTTCTTGTCACTCGCAACAATTAAATCGAAGCTGTTTTATTGATTGCCTCTAATTGACGTTTCTTTTGCGATTTGAAGCGCTTTACAAAGTCTCGAATTTATTAGCTAAGACGGCTACACCTTGATATTTTTCTGCGATAGCTTAGCTTAGGCCCATGACTCTCAGTTGGCATGAAGCGGCGCCTGTCTCTTTATGTCTGTGTGTGTGTGTGTGTCGTAAATGGCTTTCACTCAACGTCATGCTGTCAATTTTGCTAATTAAGCCGAAAGCCACAAAGTAAGGAAACTTGTCCGTCTGTCGGCCTCGACTCGAAAGAATTTCAATTGAGGTCAGTCGAAGACGTGGCCGGACAGATAACTACAAATTTCGCTCAGGCATACACGAAAGCAATCAAAAAAGCTCGTCAAGCTAAATTATAATTGAAAAGCGAAAGCGTTACAAATTTCATTTCAGAACTTGAATTTGTGCCAGTCAGCGCACAATTCGAGCAGGTCGCGACTTTAAGTAGCGGTTGCGCCTACTCAAGTGCTGGCTGGGGTGGGTGGGTGTTGGTTCGATGRGTGGTTGGGCATGGGGATGAGGATGAGGTCCTTTGCACTCTTGCGGCTTTTGGCTGACTTTTGGATATATATATACATATATATGTGTATGGGATCGTGGCAGCGCAAATTGTTGGCATATTTCAGTTATGAAGAGCGTGTGGCAAGCAACCTTGCAACATGTCTGCTGAGTCTGTTCTTCAGTCTCGAAAATTGTATTAGTGCACGCTCTGAAGCCAACCAAAGTTATTTAAATTAAAGTCACATAAATGCCAATGTCGTTGTCGCCAACAAGACAGAGAGAGAGGGCGGGAGAGGGATAGAGTTAGTAAGAGTGAGACAGCCAATGGCAGGTTAGTGGAGCGGGTACTTGCAACATTTTTCGGTGGGTTCGTTGAAGTTTTTCCGCTCGCTGTGCGACGGCTGCGCTCCTCTATTATTAATTTAACATTTGCCTGGCATTTTCTTAGAGTCTCGAGTCGCTGCCATTTTGTTCGCGTCGCTGCTGCTCGGCTACGTTCATTAGCTTCCGTTGCGGAAGCGGAAGTGCTACACAGTCGCGCAGTCAGACATACTCAGTGAGCCCCACACACACACACATACACACACTCTCACACACACTTACAGAAATACACTCGCATTTGTTGCCGTTCACTTGTTCGATTGCAACGACAACGATAACAAGACCCCCGAACTTTCAATTCAGCTCAGTTGAGCAAGTTGCTTATTTGTGTAATGCCAAAGTATTTTTATGGCATTTTTATGTTGTTTATAGACTGGCACTACCTCATGCACGGGGCTCTAACAACTTTGTAGAGAGCTTTACTACAAATTCAGCAATTATATATACCATATGAGCTATGTTAGCATTGTTGAGTTTTGCTTAGCTTAAAGGTGTGTTATCATATGAAATGAATTCTCTTTAATTGTGTCAATGTCTTTTCTAGATTGTGGCTGATCCCAGAAGGAATATTTGTTCCTTATCAGCAGCAACAGCTGAGTCCTTGTAGCTCCGCTCCTGCCTGTGTTTCTCTTAACTTCAAGACGTCTCTCTGTCTAATTTGTGTAAAGAGCAATAGCTAACAAGTATTATATATTTTGTATATAATCATCCTATACCTTCTCTTTGTTCTACAACTATCCTCTATTTGAGCACTTTCAATTAAACCACTCCAACTAGTATTTTAAGACTTTTTTCTTATTCTGCTCCATTTAATTTTTCTTTCAATTTAGTTTCAATCAATAACAAAACTAGTCAAAAACACAAAACATAGAGAGCAAAACTGAACAAAAATAGTAAATCAATTGAGTTATTTTTAGAAATTTAGCTATTGCCTGAAATCGTTAGTTTGGCTGACGGCTTTGACTAGTTGGCTAACTGAGTAACTAACTGATTTGACTGACTTGACTGCCTGCCTGACTGCCAGTTTGATTGTTTCGACTGCTGTCAAGCATTCTTTGCTTTGTTTTTTTTTTTTTTTTTTTTGTAAAGAATTTTTAGAACTCGTATACAATATATATATTTTTGACATTTAGTTTTGATTGTTGCACGCCTGCGCTGAATAAGGGCGCTGCCTTCTGCCGTTGCAATGGCGCTAAAACGGAAGCGAAGAAATTTGACTTCCGCAGCATGTGCTTCCGTTTGGTGTGTGTGCGCTTCGCTGAGCCGCTTGCCGCTTGCTGCCTGCTGCCCGCCTCCTGCTGCCCACCTCCCGCTGCCTGCTAAAGTCGACCCATACTGTGTGCGCCGTGGACAATGCAATTTGTTGTAGATTTTGTTTACTATTTTACCAGTGTTTTTGTGCCTAAATAATGGTCTTAACTTTTTGCAAGCATAGCATCTCCTTGGCACTGTAAATCATCTCCATTGAAGGCATTGCAATTTATGTTGGAGCCCAACAAAAAATGTATATATATATAGGCTATATAGGATAACGGAGCTATATGTAATAAATCTGTGGCCTAAGTGGCTTTCGTAAACAATGATATAATTTATATATAACAAATTTGTTTTTATTGTATTAAAGCAAAGACTTTAATGTGAAATGAAAATGATAAAGATTTGAAGTGCTATGAAAGGCGTATACTTAAGGTGAATTGTTGAGTAAATATTTACAATAATTATATGAAATTTTGATAAGTTAAAATTAAAAAAAAAATGATTAAAATTAATATTAGCAAACCAAATATTATGATTATTTAAATCTGTAAACTTGAAGAAGGTTTCGCTTGTTGTTTAGCATCAATATTATTAATAATATTAAAATAAAATTTAAATTATTCCGTTTAAGCAATCCATTTGAGTAAATTTTACTTTTGATAATATTTTCCATACGATTTTTTAGTTGATATCGTTCAAAAGATTATACAAACAATATAAGACAGGCCATTGTCTGTCTCTTAATACCCGAAAGCGATTGCACAGACTTTGCTTTACGCTGCATTAACCATAAATAATAATACTCTCTCGCTCTCTCTTTCTCTTTCTCTCCCTCTCAATCTCACTCTCTCTCTGCTTAATCTCTTTGCAGGCGTTTGCGGGAACAAATTGTTGCGGCTTTAAGCACGAGTGTGATTATATCGAGAATCAAAGTTTAAAATTCGCCACAGCCGCAAAACGCGCGATTCCGACTGTCAGCGCAGTAGTTGGTTGCAATAATAAAAGCAAACGGACTCTGCGTGAGTGTGTGTGTGTGCGTGGGTGTGTGGCGAGTGGCGATTGGGCAGCGGATGTAGCAGCTGGTCTAGAGCGACGTAAGCCCCATAAAAACGACATTAAAACAAATAAACAAATATACAAATACGATTCGCATTGGGAAAAGCTGTTAAAAAGTCCTTCGAACCAAACATGTTGGCCTTCCACAACGAGCACATTGCCAGTGAGTATAACTAAAGAATTTATTTCCTTTCGTTCATTTTTGTCTTTTTTTTCGGGGGCAATCTTTAAGCTTAAAGCCATGCTTGCAAATATAGTAATAATTTTAAAAGCACAGCCGGCCATGATTCGAGTGGCAAGGGGTATATGGTACGTATGTCTGGTTGTGTTCTTTGGCTGGCTGGCAGGAAAAATTGTAGAAATTTGTACACATTACAAACACTTGGGACACGGCAATTACACTTAAAAGGCAACTAGCGCCATTAAGCAATGTGCTTTGGGAGCCAGCTGCTCATATGGGACGCGCCAGCCAGAGTCAGAGCCCAAACCAGAGCACGGTAGCCAAGGAACCGGGAGAGTGGAGGTCTCGAAACGGACGGAAGCCGACGAGTTTTGCCGTTTTGCAAGCTAAAAAAGCGAACACAGCCTGGCAACACTTGCAATCCATTAACTCTAATGCTGTGCCATTATGTTATGATTAAAAAAAAAAAAAAAAAAAAAAAAAGAAATAAAATAAGCCAGACGGCCTGCTCTGTGTCTTGTGAGACTTTGTCTACAAAGACATAACACAGATGCATCGGCTGCTGTACCTAAAAGGTATTTGCAAATTGATCAAAGGCCAGATATGTGATTATTAATGCAGGCAAGCAATAAAGGATGAGTTGTGGAGGTATGTTCAGAAAGGTTGACTAGCTGGTGCCTAGATTATAAATCATTTATATTTTGAATAGTAGGAGCAACGGGCTGAATTATATACAAAAATACATGAATATTCCAAGTGTAAGTAGACATACTCTGAAGTAGAGTGATAAGTAGAATATAGAATTTATATATCGTCTTTCTTCTGTTAGAAACATATTAAAGTTCAATTAGGTTAACTCCCATTTCAACTCCTTTGTGAGCCGATTCATTGTGCCGCAGTGGAAGCAACTCAAAGCAGCGCCACGAGTGACAAGCCAGACAGGCTTGAACTCTTTGCACTTAGCCGTGAACCCGGCTTAGTCAGTCAGTCGGTCGTGTACATTAAATTCAATTGAATATTTCATAAGCTGCCAAACAACAAAGTACAACAATAATATAAGCGAAACAGAAAACGGCGCACAAACACGAAAAACGGTTGCCAAAATAGTCGACAACAACAACAACAGTAGCTGTAACAATAACAACAGCCAGAGAGACAGCAGCAGAAGCAGCAGCAACAACAACAACAACAACAACAACAACAACGATGGCCATTCACAGTCTGCAAAAGTAAAAGCATACTTTTTGGCGCTTCTGCCAATGCAATTGTCTGTGTATTGGTGTATTGTATGTGTCTATGTGTGTGTGTCTAGTGCTGTCTATACGTCCGGTTTGTCTGGCTCGATTGTGCTCGCTGATAATGGCCGCTGAACTTTGCTTTATTACATGCAAAAAAGAAAAAAAAAAAGAGAGAGCAAACCGCTGATAGGCGAAGACTTTAATACGCTGTCAAGGCAAAAAAAGTTTATATGAAAAAAATANCATAAAAAATAAATGAAATGAGATAAATAATTTAAATAAAATAAAATATCAATTATGAATAGTAATTTATTTATGTAGTTTGCTTTAAAGTATTATTTGCCATCATGAATAATATATTTTTGAATATATATTTATGAGATGATTTAATTTCATAAATGGAACCAAATGTATAGTTTTCTTTAAATAATAAGAAAAAAATTCAATTAATTCAAAATCGAATTATTCCATGAAAGTATTTTAAATGTATTTTTGTACTGGAATGATATAGTATGAATAAATCTATTTCAAGTGTCATTAATTTATTATTTCTTGCCGAATTATTGTTTTTGATAACAAACCACTTAACGCAGCTCAATTACCCGCAGCTAGTGTATTGAAAAGAAGGCCTGGCATAGTCGAAAAGTCGTAGCCAAACCACAGACACGCTGGCAAGGAGCAAAGTAGCCAAACCACCTCCCAAAAAAAGGCAGCAACTCGCAGGCAATTGTGGGGCGTGCCACTCAACTTTTAAAGTGGCACTCAAACAAAGCACGAGTCGTGCAGAAAAGGAAAAAAAAAAAGAACGAACCAAACTGGAAAATAAATTTTTGGGTATATGACGGTGCGCCGCGCGCGCTCTCGCAGCTCTATGGGGTGCCACATGCCACATGCCGCATGCCGCATGCAGCGCGCCGGCATCTAAATGCCGCCTTATTAGTCAACTATGAATTATGCACGGGGCTCGTATTATCTAATATGCCGCAGGCGTCTAGTTAAATAATTGACAGCCCGCAGCCCGCAGTCGGTGCCGCTGCCGCTGCTGCTGACGCTGCCGCAGTCGCTCAGGCCGAGGCCTCACGTAATTTGCCAGGTATTATGGGTTACATAAGTTATTCATTAAGTTATTATGTGTTTAAAGCTCACACAATGCCAGCAACGAGCTCGACTCACAAGAGGTGCTTAACTTTTATTGTTTATTGGCAGCCAACACACACACACACACACACACTAACACAGCAGATACTCTGTTCACTTGGCCTGGCTGGGCATTTCTCTCCTTTGATCTGACTTTACCTTTTGTTAAACGTCTTAAGTGCAGCTTCGCTTGTTGCACACCTCTCCAGTTACCAGCAAGAAAAGCCAGCAGCCAGCCGGCAGCCGGCAGCAACCAGCAGCAATCAGGCAACAGCTACCAGCTAAGAGCAACCAGCTAAGAGCTACCAGCTAAGAGCTACCAGCTCCCATTTCCCAGTTGCCTGTTTTTATGCTCGCTCATGGGGTGAAAAGGGGTATATTAGCGCTGTGAAATGTTGTTCGTGTGAGAGGGGCGGCTGTCTGTACGCCTTGAAGAAAGTAAAGCTTCGTCTTAAAAAGTATTAGAAAATGGCTTAGATTATTCCTTTTCAGTGTCTGGCAAATCAAGAATTGATATAGTTATAAACCTCTACGCAACTGAGAAAATGATGTAGTTGATTTATTAAAATACATCAAAAAAGAATAGCTCATGTTTATCATAAACAAGACATTATGAGGTAGTATTGTGCAGTCAGTTACAGCCGATGGCTGGGCTCCTGCTTGCTTTATTTTTATATATTTTTTCACCCCTCCGGAAATTGTTATGCTTAATGGCTTTTCAGTTTTCGTTTTAGTTGCTTTTTATTGTGCTCTCTGCAGCTGGAGCATTTAATCTTAACTACTTTATAATTTATTTAGGTTCTGTTTCACGTATATATACATAATATATATATATATTTCTGAAACATCAATTGCGTTTGTTAACAATTAAAGGCACAGGGATTAATTGTTTCAGTGTAAAGTGTAAGAATAAGGTGTTTTCTGATGGCCTCTTAAGTTTTACTAGTTTACATTAAGTGTGGCATAAAGTAGAGTTAAGTTCTGCTGTTTCGTATTAAGAGCAGCTGTAGAATAGAGTATCCGCTGGCGCTCTTATCACAGTTGGCCCGTAGATTTTACATGTGTAAAAGTTAATTTGCTGTCGGGGCTTACTTTTTTGCAGTATCTTAAGGCGGCTTAGAGTTGAAGTAGTTACTGCTTTAGATCAATATCTAAAGCCGTTGAGGGAAATTGAGTTTGCTAAAGTTTTATTACCTGTTTTTTGAGGGCATCTTTTACAGTGAGTTAATGTGGGGATTAGGGAAGCGACTTAGCTATGAAAGTTGAGCAGAACGGCATGTGTGTGTATAAAGGGCAAAGTTAATTGGAAAACAGCTCAAAGGGAAGCTAAAGTAGTTTCCAGAGTCTAAAAGTATATATAATAAGAATGCTGACACCGTATCTTATGAATAATGTCTTACATGCTGATTGAATGTTTCAGTGAGCTGTGTCGAGCTACTTTTTCTCAGCAGCTTCCTGCTGACACTTTCAATTTCCAGGTCTCAGTTCGTGAGCCTAACCGAGTTAAGCTCAAGCCAAGCGTCGCGTCTGCCAATGTCAATCACATTAGAGCATTTGAATAAATCATATTAAGTTGATGTTTTTCACTTACACGTTGTTTTTTTTTTGCATTCCACTTCACAGTGTTTGCATGTGCCATAAATAACGTATACGAACTGTGGTCCCGCGGTGCCTTTTTGGCAAACTTTTCACTTTCACTTTCACATCAAGCAAACAAAGCAGCAGCCATTCGTAGCGCTTTGTGGCTGACCAAAAACTGACATTTAGCAAGCATATTAACATGAACGAACCCGTTAATGAATCACTTTGGCCACACTGACCGCAGCTATAAAACGCGACCCTCAAACGGGGACAAACACGCACCGCCAGAGCGAACCACTCAAAGCTTGATGGTTTGCTGTGGTTAGCAACAAAAATAAAAGGGAATCGACTCTCTCTTTCTCTATCTCTCTCTCTCTCTCTCTCGGTCTGTTTGCGAAAAATACCAAGCGACTTGAGGAATTTAATTAGCATAAGTTTTTGTGCGAAACGTAAAACAAAAATTGAAAAATTGAAATATCAAAGAGCTTGGCAGGACGACGGCGCCGCATGTTTTATGTATGTATTTATATTGTGCAAATAAGTTTATTTTATTAAAAGTTGCAAAACATTTCGCCAAGCGCAATGGCAAATGTAAGTAGGCAAAAGTGAAAGACGAAAAAAAGAAAAATACAACAACAACAACAACAAGCAGAGCAGCAGCAGCAGCGACTGCTTGCCGCTTCTCCAATTGAAACAGCGAGACGGGGCACTTGTGTACTTTGCTGTCAAAGTCATTCAAATTCAGTGCATGCATAAAAAATTAACTTAGAAGAGCCGCCACCACCGCCGCCCCCGCCCCCACAGTCATCCAACCACCCAACTAAACAACGAGCCACAGAGCAGCGAATTAAAGGTCTCACTTTTGTGGTAGCCAAAAGTTCTCTCAAGCCCTCTTCACCGAGCACCGAACAGCGAACAGCGAGCAGTGAGCGCCGAGTGCTTTGATGAGTTGCAATTAAAATTGGTGGTATGGCCTTGTCGACGTCGACAGCTGTGCGGAGAGGGAGGATGGCAAAGGGGGGCAGAGTCACGAATGCAAGGCAGCCAAGAATTGAGGTTGGCTTTGATAGTTGCCACAGCAAATGTCAAAAATTTCATGTGCTTAAGAATCATGAAAACCCAAATGAAGGCCGCAATAACCAAATGAAATATGAAATGTCTAGGCAAAGTGGAGCAAGTGGGGGGAATTTATGGCATATTGAGGTGAAGAAGTGGAAAATTGTATTTGCTAATCTGAGTAGATGGCGGAGGAATTTGAATTTGAATTGTACATATGTCAACCTGAGTAGCTGAAAGAGGATAAAGTTAAGGTATATTCATGAGCTACAGCAGTTTCTTTTATTTAAGAATTATTGCATAGGTATTTCCCTTAAGTTCTTATAAGAAAAATGGAGTTACATTATTAGAGGTCTTAGAGATGACTCAGATAAATGACTTGAAGCTTTAGAAAACTTTATAATCTTATAATATAAATATATAAAATTTTGTCTCTTTCATTTAGATTTTCAGTTAGTTCGATTTTCAGTGAAACCAATTGAAGTCTGTCTCTTCAGCATAAAATAAGTGCTTTTAATTGCTATTTTTATAACGTTTATTCAAAATACACCTCTGTCAAATGGGTTTTATTCTTTGAGCTGGATGACAATTGACAATTCGGAACGTGCAATTAGTCGCATTTGTTACGTTTAGTTTAGTTAAAAGTTTCAGTCATTTTGTTAATTTGTTTTGTTGGCCCCTTTTCAACAAAAATGTATGAGTGTGTACGTGTGTGTGTGTGTGTGTTTGTGTCCATTCGTTTCAGTTGGCATTGTGAAGCGGGTTAAGCGCGGCGTATGCGTAACTAATTGCTTTGACCAGGCAGCTAACAGCAGTTGCCGCTCCCATGGCCAACTAACCGGCGTAACGGGTCGCTCCATTTAAACGATGCCAATTTGAAGGCCACTCAACGGCACAGAACCAAAAGTGGAGGACTTCAACTAAAGACCAGAAGCACTTGGCTGCCAGGGCTTTGGCGCTAGCTAGTTCTCGCAACGACGCACATGTTGCAAATTGTCGCCAAATGTGCCAGTGGAGTGAGTGTGAGCGAGTGTATATGCGTGTGTGTGTGCCTGTGTGTGTGTTTGTGATGAAAACAAAGCAACGTACAACAATGGAGTCCGAGGGCAAGCGTACCGAGACGAGACTGGCACGTTATAAAAATTGTATTTTAAAAGTCATTAGCAGCTTTGCTGCCTGTCATTGAGCATTGCGCGACGAAGGAGTTGACAAGCGTTTCGACTAACATTTTCTCTCTTTCTCGTTCCTTCTCTTTTGTATATTTCTATTTTGTAAATGGCAGACACATATGTATGTAGCGGCAAGCTTGGCTGGCAATTATGATACTCTGTGCAAAGGTGCGCCTAAATCTAGTTGAGAGAGAGATTCTGCTAAATTGAAAAACTTAGATTAGTTAGGATTAGGATCTTAGGTCTGCTTATATAGTCTTCAAACGATGTTCGATTGCCATATTGACTTATGGAACTCAAACGAAAGCTCTAAGAATTTTATAGCAACAGCCTTGGATATCTTCTCTTCTTCTGCTTTCTTATATACTTTTACTCTCTTCTTCTCTTCTTCTTTCTCTCTCAGTATTTATCTTCCTCTCTCTCTCTCTCATTTTCTCATCCTCTTATTTATTTTATTTTAGCTTTACGCTCATATATGATATTTAATCTGATTAAGATATGAATAAAGCTAATACTTATGAGTGTAATTATATTTTTCATTTTTTTGTTTGACTAAAAATATAATATATATCACTTTTAATCCTATTTAGTAATTATGTTTTTATTCAGAGCATTTTGTCATTTTTCTGGTACTCGAATATTCTCTTTTGAAATCTAATTATTCATTAAGAATTTTTATTCTTTTTTAAATATTTTTTTATTTATGCTAATATTTAAAAAAATATATTATATATGCTATTTTGGAATCCTACATATTTGGCTACTCTCCTTGTTTTGCTATTTTATGTTTCAATTTAGCTTGTTCTTTATTTTATTTTATATTTTTTTTTGCATATATTTTTTGTTTTTGTAGGTGTCGTGTTTAGAATATATTTTGTGGCAAATTTCTTGTCCCGGACCTGACTGCAATTAGTGAGCTTTGAGCAGAGCGTGCTCTGACAACGACCACACACCCGCACACATGCATACGGCCGCTCACACACATACACACACATATATATATATGAGTGATTTTTAATTAATAAACTCATTAGGCCTGGCCTCGTTGTTGTTATTGTTGTTGTTGATATGTCGTTGCTGCTGCTGCTGTTGCTGTTGCTGCTTTTGCTATGTTTTAGTCATTTTAATTACTGGCAGCTGCCGTGTGTTTGGTTATAGAACGAGCCTGTATGGCTGACCCCTGGCTGGCATATAATTTCCTGGCATTTCAACAATGTGCCGACAATTTTTATGTTTTTAGACGTTTTTGCTTGTTGGCAGCAGCAGCAGAGGCGGCAGCGGCGGCAGCAGTGGCAGCAGCATTTGACGTTGCGTCGCCGGTTCGTTGGCAGCTTTTGTTGCCGCCTGTCGTTCAACTTTTGACGTGTTGCATGAGGCGCGGCCAGACAAAAGGCAATGCCAACCAACCGTTTTGTTCAACTAGAGGCGAGCCAGAAACGTGCGAGAGTTTGCCTAAAAATTAAATATAATTGTTGTTGTTGTTGTTGTAGCTGTTGCTGTTGTTGCTGTGGTTAGCTGGTTAACACTACTGAGGACAGGCCACACCACAGGCACACACACACAGAAGCGACGACAGCAGAGACAGCAGACAGCAGACACTGAGAGAGTGTAGTGTAGTGTAGTGTAGTGAAGGCATTGGGTTTTTGGTGGTGTGAGTATCCATGCTGTGTGACGTTTAGAACCACATATCATAGTTGCTATGAAAGTAGTAGTTGCTGTTGTTGTTGTAGCTGTTAATGTTGTTGCCTGACAAGTGCTGCTTAACTGACGCTCTATCTACATTGGATAGAGGCGACGCTTAGCAGGTAAATAATTGGAGGGGGAACGGGAGAGATAGAGAGAGACAGAAATTAACATGTTGTATGAATTTGTTGTTAGTGATCAAGAGAAGCAAATGCATGCATAAGGCTTATTTTTCTTGGAAAAGGTTTAGCTTTACAGCATAAATAGAGTAGTAGAATAGTTCTGGGAATATATAATGGATGTTCTTGAAGGTATCGTACAGACAATCTGTTCAGTTCTACTTTCATTCATTTGTTCCTCTTGATAAATATTTAATTCAATAAGTTTGCTAATAGAAAAATTGATTGCCTCATAGTATTGAAATTCACTAAAAATATGACTCTACTAATATTACTTCATATGAATCCAATGTATCTCATATTTACTCATACAAACACAACTTATTATTGTAAGATAATACGAGAATTTCTTTGAATAACTCTAAGCACTTCTACTATTATTGCCAACAAAAACTGCTTTCATGCAACACCTGTGGGCTCACTGCTGTTTTTATACTCATTCACGAAAGTGAATCAGTATATTGGTTTTGTGCAATGTCCGTCTTGCTGTCCGTCCGTCTGTCCGTCTGTCCGTCTGTCCGTCCGTCCGTCTGTCCGTCTGTCCGTCTGTCCGTNAAATTCTCCTATATTTTGGACACTATTGATGGCAGAGACCTCAAATTTTGTATATATACTCGGACTGATCACCCAAGACCAAAAAGTTTTGTCGGATATATGTCCGCCCACAGGGGGCGTGGCAAACCGCAAAAGTTTATATCTCCTAAAGTATAATAGCTAGAAGCTTCAAATTTGGATAGTTGAGTTACTGGTAGCCTCCTCTATCGATTCCCCAAAAATAATTTTTACGCCTCTTTAGGGGCGTGGCATATCGAAAAATACCCTGTAATTTTCACATTTTTTTAGGGTAAGCATTCAAACTTTGCAGTTAGGGTAACGTTATCTCTTTCTAAAAACTGACCAAAAATGAGGTGTCTACGCCCAGTTGGGGCGTGGCAAATCGGAAAAACCTGTATATTCTACAGTATTAGAACGAAACTTAACTACTAAATTGTTGATGGGATGTGAAKGAGTATTCYSCRGTCGGTAACGCCCGACTGCAACGTTCTTACTTGTTATATATATGTATATGTACATACATTAAATAAATATAAAGAAAAAAATACTGAATAATGTCAAAGAAATTACACGGATTTATGAAATGGCCACAAAACGGCGCTAAACACGTTGACGCGCTCAACACGCAAAGCACCACAAAATTATGCGCAATTGTGGCTCAGCAGCGCTGGCAGGGTGGGGGCAGCAGGGCTCGCACCACACTAAAGTCTTAATTGAGCGACAAAACGAAATGTTTTCCAAGCTAAACACGAAAATAGTTAGGCGCAAAGAGATAAAGGTTTAAAAGACTAGCAAAGAGTGATTCGAGAGCTTTAAGTAAATAAACCGAAAAAAAGGAAATATGTCTGGCTGATTTATATTTAAAAAAGTTTATTTAATATTTATATTTTTTTCTTTAAGTTCAGTTCTCTATAGCCATGGCTAATTAATTTAAATGAAATTTCTGTGCATTGCAATTTTTTCAGGTTGCGCCTTTCTGACCTACTTCAGTCCGGACAGCACAAACACGGCTGCCAATTCGCCAACATCTGGGGCACAGGCGGCGCTTTACAATGACAAACAGTCTATAACAGGGGTAAGTCAAAAGCTGTACATCTAATTAGTAGACACTGTAGACACACGAACTCTTTAGCCCCCTCTCTAATCCCATAACCCACAAAAGTATGCTATAGAATTATTTTCATATATATGTATGATGTTAAAGTTGATCTGAAATGCAAACATTTTTATTTGTTAACCTAATTTGCATACGTGTAATGGCCATAAATCAAAAGTTAAAACAACCACCAAATAAACTAAGCTCCACAAATTAGCTATGCGCAAAACTTTTATTATTTATATTCTTTTTCTACGCACAATTAGGTGTTAGGGGAGTGAGAGTGTACATGGAAACTCTCTGTCTCTCTCTCTGTCTATCCCTGTCTCCTTCTCCCTCTCACTCTCTGAGCATGCTAATTCTGTTTATTTTATGGCATAATTGTTAGCTTAGCTTCTGATAGGAGTTCTATGCAGTATGTAACATTTTGGTATATACCATAATATTTAGTATTTATATGCTGTAAATTCCTTGAAAAATATTTTATACATTTGACGAATATTTCATACTTTGCTATATACCAAATCATAAGAAATACTCTCTAATAATTTATGCCTTAGGCGGTAGATAGCTTAGTTGAGGCCAAGTTCGAGGAGAAAGTCAGAATTGAAAATGTATCTCAAGGAGAATATGTTCCCAATAATAGTTAATGTACCTTTCTTGCCTAGATCCAGATTTAGTTCTACCTTCAGTAGTTTCTTAACTCACAAATACTTTAACTTCCATTTGGTTTGCCAACAGAGCATCAAATATTCGTCTATCCAAAGTTTCCATAAACTTTTTTTTTGTTCAACTATTTCAATTTTTGCCTGTGCATTTTGTGTCTAATTATTTCAGTTGCAATTGTGATTTTCTGCACAAGTTTTTACTTTAAAACAATTGATTGTTTAGATTGTTGCTGTTGTTGTTGTTGTTGTTGCATTTAGTTGCAATTGTGATTAATTATTTTTAGTAAAAATATGTTTGTATAGCTCGCTCCATTTATCGCTCACTAATTGTGTTGATTTTGGCAATTAGCAGTGGGCGTGCATGGGCGTGGCAATGCTGGCAATGGTAAATTAAATATTTGAATATTTATAACAATTTTCACAGTCAATAAATAAAACACCTGCAGAGAATGCAACGGCAGTGGCAGAGAGAATGTGTAAACACGTTAAACTAACGTATGTTTTTGGTTTTCCATTTGAATGTGGCCAAAGGCCACAGGTCACAGAGGACAGAGGACAGAGGACACCAAAAAAATGAATTGAAATATACAAATTTAAAATGTATTAGCCGAAAACAAGTCTTTAATGGAAATTGTGTGTAATGGCTCGTTGGCCAAAGCAAAATAAACAAAACACGTTTTAGCCGCAGGCTGCCAACATGTGCCTGGCCAAGAATTCAGCTTCGATATATATATTTTATAAATAGACTCAATTAAATATGTTTGACTTGAAATCGACTTTAGATGAAAGCTAAAGGTCTCACACAACTTTTACAATTAAGCCAGAATTCTATTCAATTTCGCATTTAACTTATTATCAAATAAAACTAAATATAAAATTGAATTGATGGATACATATATACACTATATGTATTTGCTTATATGTATGTAAATTAAAGCTTCGTTTCTCTTTTGCTCTCCACTCGTAAATCTACCTGCATAAATTGTCGAAAATTCATAAAACGAAATGAAATTTTGCATAAAATATTAAAAAGCAAACATAAAACATTTGCAGCAACTGCAGCGGCAGACGACAACAAGAAATAAGTTTATTGAATATGCAAAAATGTTTCAATGTAAGTAAAAAGGAGAAAAAAATCGAAAGTCTTCTCAGCTCACCCCAGCACTTGCCAGCCGACTCCTGCTGCCAAACAAAGATAAATGGATAGATAGCCGCAGCCTAGCATTTTTGGCTTGAATTACTTTTGCTCTTGTTTTCATATTTTCTTTGTCTACAACGATTTTGTGGTCGTTTTGTATAGAAATTTATTACATTTTCTCTGCGTGCGAAGGAAGTGTGGCGTGTGGGCAGAGCACAAGCTGCAAGACTTGCCTACCTCATTCAAAACTTTGTTTTGTGTGCCACTTGTGCGGCGGCAGTTGTGCAACAACTTTGCTGGCAACTCTTTAGCATTGTTGTTGTTGCTGTTGCTGTTGTTTGTTGTCTCTGTTGTTATTGTGATACTTATTAAAATTTTCTTAGAGAGACAACAAGCAAGCAAAGTAAAAGTGCTGCTTGCAGTGCTCTTTTTTCCCTCCATTCTTTTTTTTTTCCCTTTTCATCTGACCCAAGTGCGCTCTTTGTTATTTTAATATTGTGAGCGTAGAGTGAGCTGAGCAGTTGAAGTGCTGGGGAGTGGCAGGCAGCGAATGCAAGAGCACTTGAGCATAATCAATTGTGTAATGTAATAGCTCATTCATTGGGACAATTTTTAATTAACTCACACTAGAAAGAGAGAGAGAGAGAGAGAGAGAGAGAGAGAGAGAGAGAGAGACTCGAGTTGAGTTGAGTGGAGTGCATGTAATTCGTTCGTTTCGTTTTGATCTGCCAGACTTGCACTTATCAGTGGAGTATATAACTTCCGTTTCCGCTTCAACATACTTGGGCAAAGTTTGTGCAAATGAAATGCGCTTGTCCGCAAAAGGAAACAGTTTAGCATAAAAATGAAAAGTCAAGACGCCAAAACTACATATATATATATATATAGGGAAGAGAGAAGGAGCAGAAAATAATAGGGAAATCCTCGGACTCTGACAACTCTGGCAATTGGCAGCCGGGCTGGCAGGATAGCAGGCTGGCTTTATCTGAATCTTATACGCTGCTTTGTCGTATTCAAATTTCTATTTAAAAAGTCAAACAGTTCTCTGTATGTATGCGTGTGTGTGTGTGTGGGTGGGCGGAAAACTTGTGCAATGGCTAAATGCAATGCAAGGAAATCATAACGGAAATTTTTTCGAAAATGAAAAATATCTGCTGCAGCACTCCAACTCGAGCTGAGTGCACAGGATGTGGGCAGTAACTTTGCACACATGCCAGCAGTGCACTGGAGGCAGCCGAACAGCCGAGGCAGCCAGGCAGCCAGTCGACGGCGGCCCAGGAAGTGTCTGCGAAGAAATGCTAGCGGAAAACAGCAAGCGGCATAGCAAAACCACCGAATCGAATAAAAAATACAGAGAAAGCGAGAGACACCGAGAGAGAGAGAGAGATAGAGTGAGACAGAGAGACAGAGAGAGAGAGAGAGAGAGAGACGAGGCAGTAGCAGCAGAGTGCATATATGCAGTAAATAATAAAGCGCATACTTTAAGAGCTGCCCCACAGGCAGCTGCAGCCATTGATTAATGGCCACGGGCTCTGCTAATTCTCTGCAATAAAGACACGACGCGCACTCGAGCCGCAAATGTATCTTTTGTGTAGCACTTGGGTTGCAGGAGTGGAGCTGCTGCTGCCAGAGGTTAGCTGGCCAGCTGTAAAATATTTTTGCTTACGTGGCCATGTAAACACACAGTGACAAAAAAAAAAAAAAAAAAGAAGAAGAGAAAGAAACAAAAATAGAAGAGTGCTTGGAGACTAACCAGAAGCAAGTGCTCGAATACTGGACGCATGTAGCACTTGGGTTGCAGGAGTGGAGCTGCTGCTGCCAGAGGTTAGCTGGCCAGCTGTAAAATATTTTTGCTTACGTGGCCATGTAAACACACAGTGACAAAAAAAAAAAAAAAAAAGAAGAAGAGGCAGAAGCGTACTGAGCGTGGCGGACAAAAAAAAAAAAAAAAAAAACGAAATCAGCAGAAAAAATTTAACCGCTGTCTGCAATAAAAAAAAAAAAAAAAAAAGAAGCAGTTAGAGCCTGTAATTGATGCATGCTAACGACCAAAAAATGCTCTACTAATTGAGTTAGATGTGTGTAAATTAAGTTTGAATAGCCAAAAAAAAAAAAAAAAAAGTATTAATGCCTGAAATATTGGATAAAAGATAGAGAATCGATAAAGAAAAAAAATTTATATATGACATACAATGTAGGGGTTTGATTGGGGAAACTGTGTAGGGAAAAGAAAAGCTTTTGGCTGTTATAGGTCAGTTGTTGATTTTTCAACAATCATTCTCTGCTCAAAAATTCCTTCCTTTGAGCATATATTCAGCTTCCTCTAACTTCATTAGTCAACTTTCACACTTTACGCCAGGGTATACTCAATATCCCATCAGATTTAAAGCTCAATTATAGGCTATGCTACGTAGCTCAAAAGTTTTCATGCCCTACCCTAGGGTATACTCCCTAATCTCTCACATTTTGCACAAGCTCCACTGCAGTGTCTAAAGATTTAGCTGGCGTTGCTCAGGCGCTGGGCTGTTGGCCAGTCATTTGGTCGATTGGTAGGAGTTTGGCTGCATCAATTTGGCAATTTATCTGGGCGATCTGCATTTGTTGATTTTGCGCCGGAGAGTCTGCCACAATGTTTGCTAATGTCCGCTTTGCATAAGAGCTAACGAACTAGATTTTTTCCTCGCACTTGGAGGCTTGGCTCGGAGGCTTTCTGTGCTGTGTCTGCACTCGGTCCGCTTCATTGGCATATCAATCAACGGCCAAAAGCGGGAAATGAATTCGCTTACTCACACGGCCGGCTCGCCGACCAAGAGATATAGTAGAAGCGGAGAATGTGGATGCCACGGATTTTTTATTTCCAGCATCGGTTGTGTTTTTTTTTTTGTTGCTGTTGTTTTTGTTTTTGTCTTTTCTGTTTTGTTGGCCGCTTCTGCTGATGTAGTTGTCGTTGTTGTTGTTGCTGGCGCGGCCGGATGCCATTTTAATTAAGTGTTGGGGGCCTGTAACCGAACCGCCAGGACGTAGGCAGGCGTCGGTGGCGTCCTGGCGCCTGGCCAAAGCCCTTTTTGGCGTGTCTTCTCATTCTGACCGTGAGGAATTTAACATTTAGAACGGAAGTGTGCAACAAAAAAGGGAAAGAAAGGAGAAGAACGGAGCAGCAGAATAAAATGCCA